TACGTCTGTATAGTTTTTATACATTTTTATTTTAAAGTCCGTTAAAATCAGATATATTTTATTAATTAATTTATTTACTTAAGTTAAGAAACTTTTTAATGATTTTAGTTTTGGGTTCAGTTCTGATAATAATTTTTCAGATAATGATATAAAAATAAAAGCTAATTCAAAATGTTAATAAATATGATCATATTATATAAAAACTGCTCAAATAAAAACTTTATGGCACCAGCTGATGTACTAAATTGTATTTTTTCAGCCAGAATATTACACTGTGTTTGTGGGCATGAATGATGTCTCAAATCACGCAGCTTCTTGAAAAGAGACGATGGACCTGATTGTAATGATGTTGTGAATTTACAATATTTGCTTTGTGGTAGATTAAACCTTGGACAAAAAAATCTCCTAAACTTGCGTCAGTGGAGGGACTCGCCGTGTGGTGGTTTCTTCTGGCTGTGCCAGTATTTTATAAAAAAATTTATCAATATTGCAACAGCGTTATCCAATATTGCAAGTCATGGCCATCAAATGGAGGTTCTTCTCATGAGGCTTAGCAGCTTAAACACGACAGGCTTGAAAAACCAGAAAATGGGGTCTAAAGTCCAATCCTCTCATAATTGCATGCTAGCCAAAGGGATTTAGCTGTTAATGCGCTGGGGAAAAAACAGAAAATAACAGAAGGAGGGAAAGGCAGTGTGTGTGGATACATCACTCTCACACACACACATACACACACACACACTGCTGGCGAGTCTCAGGGGGCTTGACATCGAAGCAGTGACTGTACTCAGATGTAAAGATGAACCGACAATCCCATGATGCCAAGCAAGTGTAGTACTAATTAAGAAGCTGAGTGTTGTATTCTGTTGTACTCTGTTTATTATGATGTTTGTTTTACATTAAAATTGTGCGTGTAAATTGATATGTATTGGTTCAGGTTTTTTTGTTAGTGTTGTTAAAGTTGCATTCAAAGTATGGCTCACTGAACTTTTACAGCAAAACAAATCGTAAATCCTCATGACAGACTTAGTGAAGTGTTTATCTTTAGCGCGCCCTCTAGTGTACATTTTTTAACATATTACCTGTATAAATATGAATTCGGATTGGGAAATATTAAGATATACTTTATATTTATTGTTTGTTTGTGTGTGCGTGTGCGTGTGTGTGTGTATATGTAGAGAGAGCGAGCGAGAGAGAGATCCTAATTATATTAAAATATATATCTTATATTCAAATGTATATCTTGAAAGCTTTTTAGTAAGAGAGAGACATTCTCGTTTTTTCTCTCTGTGTGCATGAATTCAGAAATGTTTATTTAGTAATACTGAGTGACACATTCGTTTTAATGAAGAGAGAGCGCATTAAACATTTGTTTATGTACTTCTGTGAGCAGTAAATAATGTCATCAGTATTTTTTCTATTTTAGAAGAAAAGTTTTGTTTTTATTGTTTAATCAATTTTTAGAAGTACACTAGCATTATAGTGTATTTTATAGATTTATATACTGAAATCCACAAATTACATTTTTGATTTCCTTTAATAAGCAGCTAATCTGTCACTGGAAAACCGCACTGATGCAGATTGTTGTTGTGAGGTTTTTAGCACAGCAGGCCGTTGCGTGTGATTGTGTTCCCAGCATGCATCCGTGTAGTCATACGTCCCACAGTCCACCTGACAGCTCCTCAGATTTAAAGGTTTGGTCTCTACAGCAACACATCGAAAGCATTGCTGTTTTCTCCTTAGACTCACTGCCCACTTGGCATGGCACGGCCACTTTTATGATCGCGTTTACCCCTCGAGCTCATTGTTAACAAGCCATCGGGAGCGCAGAGAAGCTGGTTTGAGCCGGATGGCCCAGTCTGGGGCCCCTTCTCTCTGGACTTGTGTGCTTAAGACAGGCCAAGAGCCGGAGCCAGAGACCCCACTGAGACCCAGACAATACCCCAGCCCCGAGCCCTTACATAACACTGCACTCGCCCACAGCCTCAGTCTGTGTCCAGAGATTCAGTCTTTCACACTGCTTTTCAGTGCAGAAATATTTGAGATGTGTATTTTATTAATAATACATATACATTAAAGAATGCATGCAACGGTACATTAAAGATGAATATTTTTATTCATTTATTTTGTAGGTGACCACCAAAAGAAAACACATGATCATTTCATGAGTCCTGTTATTCCAAGGTATGTATGTTATTTGGGGGGGAAAAAATGAATGCATGAGGCTTTTTGTGTGCTTTCCATATGCAGAAATATTCACATGCATAAAACCTGAAAATGTGTATAGAAAGAAAGAAAGAAAGTGGCTGAGGTCATAAATGTTTTGATACAAAAATAAATAAATAAAAAGTACACTGTAGCATACTTTTAAAAATAATACTTATTATGGAAATAATAGTAATTAAAATGGTAATAATAGCTTACAGTAAGTTTGAATGGAATGTTTTCAGACACAACTTGATTGCAATAAATTGAAAATGTATTATAGCTGAAATTCATATTAAATGCAATTAGCTGACCTTCAGAGTGCTTTTTTCCACCCTCTTAAGTACATCATCTTTATATGTAATTTCATAATTGAAATGTGGTTAAAGTACTGCTGAATGTTGCACTGACAAGCATTTACAGAGAACTAAAATACACTTCAATGTCATTTCTATTGAAACTTTTATTGTGTCGTGCGTTTCAATTTTTAATTACACATTTGTACTGAAGTTGCAATTTAGTACATTCAAAATAACTAAAAATATATTATTTAAAATGTATCGATTTTAAATGTAATATCAAATAACACTACAGTTCAAGTTGTTTCTTTAGTATGGTAGTCAACATCAAAAAAGTGTACTACTTTATAAATCATGGTAATTTTACTCATTTTTGTCATGTTTTAATGTACTTGTAAAATAAAAGCACACTTTTTAAAGTGTACTTAAGTGTGTTAAACATTAAAGTGTTTCTCTTCAAATACACGCAAGTGGCCTTTTATTTCATTAATATTGTATTATCTGCAAGTACCTTTTTAATCATGTAAGATTTACACTACAACTACACAGTCAAGTGCACTCTTAAGTGCACTTCTTTTTAAAGTTATAAAGTTCTTTGTTAACACTTTATTTTAAGGTGTCCTTGTTACACGTTACATGTACTTACTATTATAATATCAATAAATTATGCATAATTACATGCAAGTAACCCTAAGCCAAACCCTAACTATATAATAAGTACGCATGTAGTTAATTAATATTACTCCGTACTTGAATGTATAATTACACTGTAACAAAGACACCTTAAAATAAAGTGTAACCAGTTCTTTTTAAAGGTAATATGGGCAAGTGTGAGGTAGGTATAAGACAAGCCTTCTGTTTTCTCCTACAGGAGACAAGCTTTTCGATACAACCCTGCGAAGGAGAGGATGGAGAAGACTGAGGTAGAACGAGCTCATGTGGTAAACGGGAACCCCATCTCTCCTAATTTCACCAAGACCAGCAGTTCAGAGTGGAACAGCTCCGATGATCCCTTTTCCGAGCAGGAGGATTCCTCATCACGAGCTGACGTTCCTCCGGTTCCCTCTCGCGCCGCGGCTCCATCAGTGCCTCCCAAACCTCTCATCCTGAGCTCAGAGAACCGGCGACGAGATCCCCGTCCACCCAGCCCTCGACGTCTTCCTCGAAACGGCTCGGCTCTGTCCCAAACCGTCCTGCAGAAGTGGATGGAAAACTCGGACACGAGCTCCAAGTCTGGCTCCTCTGATCAGGAGAGGAACGATCTGTCTGCGAGTGAGGGTGAGGAGAAGTTCTCCAGCTTTCCCAAACCTGCGGCCGGCTCTGCTGTCATCCCCAGCACGTACTTCTCCGTGGACAGCTGCATGACTGACACGTACCGTGCCAAGTACCATAAAAAGAGACCTGCTCTGTATGTGATGGCAGACTCTAGAGCCGGAGATCACACCTCGTCTGGTGAAAGTGATTACGGGGAAAGACTGTCACCGGCTCCTTCAGAAACACACAGCAGAGCCACAGCGCTGCCAGGTAACATCACACTCTAACACATGGACAGCTTTCTTAATGTAGCAGTTAATACGATAAATTGGCATCGTTTTATAGCTGATGCAGTCACTTACAATAAGTAAATAAATACACACTATATTGGCAAAAGTATTGCCGTTTGACTACTTTAGTCATTTCCATGAGTACAAATCTTAAAGGAACACGCCACTATTTTTGAAAATAGGCTCATTTTCCAACTCCCCTAGAGTTAAACAGTTGAGTTTTACCGTTTTCGAATCCATTCAGCCGAGCTCCGGGTCTGGCGGTAGCACTTTTAGATGCAGCTTAGCATAGATCATTGGATCTGATTGCAAGCAAGCAATTAGTAATGTCCATTTAACTGAACATGAAACCAGTGCTGCCTCAAACTCTTGCATTGATCAAATAGATGAGTCGACTGACAAGCTTGATGATCTTCCTGCAGATGAAGAGCCTTCTACCAAACCCGAGCACTCTGAAGACCTTTTCTCAAGAGAAAGTAAACACAAGGTTTTACCAGAAAAGTCTAAACTAGACTCTCTTGGAGAAGACATACCTTCAATGTCTGATCCAGTCCTTGGAAAGGTTTTCTATAATGTGAATGATCCCGAGAATGCTGAAAATGTCCTGCTTGAGAGTGGCGTTTCCAAAAAGAAGAGTCGGGCCCCGTTGCCTCCTGCCAAATCAGCATCCAGCCAGCAACCAGAAGCTGCACCGATCTCAACCAGTCAACCCAGCATACAAGATCAAGACAAGTCATTAACTGTTAATAGTAGCAAGTCAACTTCATGTTTTACCCAATCCCTGGTGAACTCCTCTTCAACCTCCAGTCAAGTTCTCACTCCTCTGAGAATGGAAGCAGGTCATGGGTCAGGGCACCGGTCTTTCCCGCCTGTCAGAGTGTCACCTATTGATGTTCAGCCCGTCGCTGGGCAGAAAAATGGGAGTGAAAGTGAGAGAACAGGTGATCCTGCCTTCAAACCCTGCAGGTGAGGCCATGCATAGAACTTCTAGAGACCCTTAAAACTAGTAGCAGAAGTTGTTGGTAGGTTCCAGTTAGCCATCCTCTGGTAGTTCTTAAAGGAACACTCCACTATTTTTGAAGAGTTTCTATATTTTTCCTATTTAAAACTTGACTCTTCTGTAGTTACATTGTGTACTAAGACCGACGGAAAATGAAAAGTTGCTATTTTCTAGGCTGATATGGCTAGGAACTATACTCTCATTCCGGTGTAATAATCACGACACTTTGCTGCCGTACCATGGGTGCAGCAGGCGCAATGATATTACGCAGCGCCTGAAGATAGTCCCCAGTACGCTTTCTGTGCAAGCAGGTGGTCACGTTGGTTATGTTGACGGAAGTTAGCCTGTTTTCAGGCGCTGCGTAATATTATTGCGCCTGCTGCACCAATGGTATGGCAGTGAAGTTCCTTGATTGGTCAAGGAAACTCTTTGGTCATTTTTGAGCGAGATACTAACGGTCTAATCAGATTCAATGATCTATGCTAAGCTACAGCTAAAAGTGCTACCGCCAGACCCGGAGATCGGCTGAATGGATTCGAAAATGGTAAAACTCAACTGTTTAACTCTAGGGGAGTTGGAAAATGAGCCTATTTTCAAAAATAGTGGAGTGTTCCTTTAAGGTGAAAGCATATAATGATACTTTGTACTCATATATAGGCTATATACGTGTGTGTGTGTTGTTTTAGGGTATATACTTTTTTATAATTACTTAATAAATAGATAATTATACATAAACATCTATCATAATCTAATCCAATAATCCAATCATGAATTAATATGAAATGTATATCCATAATATCCACACACATCCATATATATATATGTGTGTGTGATTTATTTTAGTAGTGGTAGTGTTATTATATAGTTTTTCAAAAAAACTGTCATGTGTTTCATAATTGTGCAAAATTGGGAATAATTTTATGTAATTTTTTTGTAGTGCCTACTACTCTGTTGCTATTTATCTTAATTTAGACATAGTCTTGTATCATTGGTGACTCATTTCTAGCATTACTATTTAGTACGAGTCCCTTTCCTAATTCCATTAGTCTGATAATACTGTTCAAATGATAACTCGCTGTTCATTTTTATGTTTGTTTTTCAGTTCATGCTTCCGGTAATAAACCCACTGCTAAATGGAACCCAGTTTCAGTGAAAGGACTGGATGAACACGGCTTTCTCTGACAGCAGATCTCACGCTATCACAGCACTCTGCGTGAGTGAACGCTCAGCGGCCTTCCCCTGAAGATGTGTGTTTGTGTAGTATGCATTCAGACACAGTGCGTGGCAGTATCCGACTTTACATTTGCACATTTTTAAGCCAAAAGAGAACAATATTACGTAACTTAAAAGAGAAAATTCCAAAACACTCCTTTAGGCTTAAGGATATTTGATGTAACTTAAGACTAACAAAACTAACAAAAAATACGACTGATTGTCCAATGACAGTTTGCTCTAAATATGATAAAGTGCTTTAGTTGGTTTGGAGGGATGTGTTTCTGTTCACTGCTTCTGATTTTCTCTGTTTTGATTGTTTGTGGAGAAAGGAGCTGTATTTTCAGAAGGTGAAGCTGCTAAATGTGAAACCATTCCTGTCTTTAGTAAGAACTGCTTTTGAAAAGCAAAATTAAGCTTAATGTTTGATGGCCTTTTTTGTTGGTTTAGGTGTGTGACAATATCTCTTTTTTAATTTTCTCTGGATTGTTTGTGGAGAAAGGAGCTGTATTTTCAGAAGGTGAAGCTGCTAAATGTGAAACCATTCCTGTCTTTAGTAAGAACTGCTTTTGAAAAGCAAAATTAAGCTTAATGTTTGATGGCCTTTTTTGTTGGTTTAGGTGTGTGACAATATCTCTTTTTTTATTATTTAGTCCCTCATCAATAATAAAAAATGCTTTCACCCTTTTATCATGTCAAGGTCAGTTTTTCGACCAATGTGCACAAAAATTATAGAGAAGACACTGGAGATTAAATTGTTTGGTCATTTATAAATAAAAAGTGGAATCTGACGTTATTTGGGCTCATCTAAATACGTTTTCTTTTCATATTTGGAACAAGACAAGTTGTACATTTTGTCATTATTTGTATGATGTTTTGTATATTGCTAGGCAGAACACACTGAATAGTGCCTTATTTTGTATGTAAAAATGGGATAAAGGTGTTTTTATTTGTAAAATGTTAACTTTCTAAATTCTTTTATAATATTGTAGTTCATTTTGGTTGAGAACTTTTAATAAACTGATTTATTTAAGCATAACATGGTTGCCCAATTTGTGAATGTTTAAACTACCATTCAGTGAGATTTTAATGCTTTTATAAGAAGTCTCTTCTTCTTATAAAATATTATAATTTGAAATAACTGTTTTCTGTTTTAATATGTAAAATGTAATTTATTCCTGTGATGCAAAGCTGAATTTTCAGCATCATTACTCACATGATCCTTCAGAAATCATTCTAATATGCTGGTTTGCTGCTCAAGAAACATTTCCGATAATCATTATTTTTGGAAGAAGTTGTTTAATATTTCTGTGGAAACCATGGTAACATTTTTGAAGATTCTTTGGTGAATAAAAAGAGAACAGCATTTATTTGAAATGGAAATATTTTGTAGCATTATATATGTCTTTACTGCCAATTTAATGTTGAATAAACTCAAACTTTTGCATGGTAGTGTTTTTAAAAATAAAATGTAAAAATAAAAAATGCCTATCAATGTAAATATAGATAAACATTTGTTATAAGACCTCTATCTATACATAAAATTATTATTTATTTTTTTGTAAGATTTACTTTTTTTACAACAACTGTGAGCCTAGAATATTTTTGGGGTGTATATTCAATCTCTGACAATTATTAGCAAAAATTTGCAGACAAATCAAAATTATAGAACCTCAATTTCAGATGTCACGTGTATTGTTTTTAATTAGAAAAAACTTGTGCTAACTAAAAAATGATACATATAAACATCATAGCTAGAAAAAAATCTAAAAGACCCCATTCCCATAACATACAGAGCACATACAGTAATAAATACATATATAATACAAATAACATTGAGTAGCATACATTTACATTATAACACAAGACAGTCCTCTGAGTTACAGAAGATGTTTTGTGATCATGTCACCCTTGGGCTTGGAAACAGTGAGCTGACATTCTGTGATGCAAAGCTGAATTTTCAGCATCATTACTCACATGATCCTTCAGAAATCATTCTAATATGCTGGTTTGCTGCTCAAGAAACATTTCCGATAATCATTATTTTTGGAAGAAGTTGTTTAATATTTCTGTGGAAACCATGGTAACATTTTTGAAGATTCTTTGGTGAATAAAAAGAGAACAGCATTTATTTGAAATGGAAATATTTTGTAGCATTATATATGTCTTTACTGCCAATTTAATGTTGAATAAACTCAAACTTTTGCATGGTAGTGTTTTTAAAAATAAAATGTAAAAATAAAAAATGCCTATCAATGTAAATATAGATAAACATTTGTTATAAGACCTCTATCTATACATAAAATTATTATTTATTTTTTTGTAAGATTTACTTTTTTTACAACAACTGTGAGCCTAGAATATTTTTGGGGTGTATATTCAATCTCTGACAATTATTAGCAAAAATTTGCAGACAAATCAAAATTATAGAACCTCAATTTCAGATGTCACGTGTATTGTTTTTAATTAGAAAAAACTTGTGCTAACTAAAAAATGATACATATAAACATCATAGCTAGAAAAAAATCTAAAAGACCCCATTCCCATAACATACAGAGCACATACAGTAATAAATACATATATAATACAAATAACATTGAGTAGCATACATTTACATTATAACACAAGACAGTCCTCTGAGTTACAGAAGATGTTTTGTGATCATGTCACCCTTGGGCTTGGAAACAGTGAGCTGACATTGCAAACGTTGTTGTTAACGTGGCTGTTCTGTTCTGTTTCGAGTCTGAAGTGCATGAGCAGACAACAAACCACAGTCCAGCACAGTCACATCATGATTAGCATGTGCACTAAGTAGTAGAGATGTCGTGTGCTCAGGTTATGTGCAGCTGTGACTGAACTCACATTTTAACGTGACACACATAGCGGTGTGCCTTTCCTTTCTTACAGTCTCGTATCTGCCATTTCGTCTTCCTCCAGACCAGGACGCACCTCCTCGTTCCCTTCTTCCTGTTTTTAGGAGGGCTCCGCCTCCAGTTGGTGTAAGTGACAGGCTCTCCACTCACCCACTCCCAGCGGCCTTTACTGTCACGATCATTCAGACCTGTCATTACACAGAGAGAGCGACCAGTTCATGTTTAACCCTTTAAATCCTACCGGGTCACACTTTAGTTTGGGGACTGCGCAAAGAAAACAAAAATAACGACTTTATTCCACATTTTCGTCTCTACTGCGTCACTTTGGACGTGCGTTCACGACAGTATCATGACGCGAGCGTGTGGCGACGCCGGCGCTGACCCAGATCCGGCGTGATTAAAAATGCTGAATAAAGTCGTTATTTTTGTTTTCTTTGCGCAAAAAAGTATTCTCGTAGCTTCGTAACTTTACAGTTGAACCACTGATGTCACACGGACTACTTTGTCGATCATCTTGGTACTTTTCTGAGGGTGAGTAATTTATTACAGAATTTTCATTTTTGGGTGAACTAACCCTTTAACTACGATTTTGCCTCAATAAACTCCTTATTTGCTGCTTATTAATAGTAAGGTAGTTTAGGTTTAGGTATTGGGTAGCATTAAGGGATCTAAAATAAAAAATAAAGCATTAATATCTGCTTTATGAGTACTAATAAACAGCCAATATGCTAATAATATGTATACTAATAAGCAACTAGTTAATAGTGAGAATTGGTCCCTGAAGTGTTACCTCCTACAGTATCATAATTGATACTCAAAGGCCTCTAAATGATCAACATGATCATAACTTTGCTACTACATGCCTTCTGTCGTCTGACTGCTAGTTTATACTATTTTAGCAACTTTTTAAAGTATAATTGTGAAAATGTCCACCTTCAGGTCATGGTCATTTTTATAAAATAAACATTAAAGAAATTATATATATATATATATATATATATATATATATATAAACTGAACAAAATTATAAACGCAACACTTTTGTTTTTGCCCCCATTTTTCATGAGCTGAATTCATATGATACAGTATAAACATGCACAGGCAGTTGTAAGAAGAACAATTAGGCAAGCAAAGCGGATATATTGGAGGGATTTTTGTAGTTTAATTGGAAGTACTACTCAGATAGGAGAAGTTTGGGGGATGATTAAAAAGATGAGCGGGGATGCAAGGGAGTGGAGTTATCCTGTGTTAAGTGATGGAGATAAAGATGCAGTTACTAACAAAGAAAAAGCAGAGATGTTGGTAGATGCATTTGTTAGTATACACAGCTCAAATAATTTGTCAGTGGAAGGAAAGGTTCCTGAGACGGTTTCTGACAGTTTGTGCAGGAATTCTTTGGTTATGCAAACCGATTGTTGCAGCAGCTGTCCGGGTGGCTGGTCTCAGACGATCTTGGAGGTGAAGATGCTGGATGTGGAGGTCCTGGGCTGGTGTGGTTACACGTGGTCTGTGGTTGTGAGGCCGGTTGGATGTACTGCCAAATTCTCTGAAACGCCTTTGGAGATGGCTTATGGTAGAGAAATGAACATTCAATTCATGGGCAACAGCTCTGGTGGACATTCCTGCAGTCAGTATGCCAATTGCACGCTCCCTCAAAACTTGCATGTCTGTGGCATTGTGCTGTGTGATAAAACTGCACATTTTAAAGTGGCCTTTTATTGTGGCCAGTCTAAGGCACACCTGTGCAATAATCATGTTGTCTAATCAGCATCTTGATATGCCTCACCTGTGAGGTGGATGGATTATCTTGGCAAAGGAGAAGTGCTCACTAACACAGATTTAGACAGATTTGTGAACAATATTTGAGAGAAATAGGCCTTTTGTGTACATAGAAAAAGTCTTAGATCTTTGAGTTCAGCTCATGAAAAATGGGGGCAAAAACAAAAGTGTTGCGTTTATAATTTTGTTCAGTGTATATATATTTGTTTTTGTTTTCTGTAAAATTTCAAGATAAACACTTACTGGACTGAAGTGACTTGATTATCTGTACATCGTTTTTTTTTTGTTTTTGTTTTTTTTAAAACATTTTAAAATGTATCAAATATGATTTTCAGGAATGTTTCTTTGCTCATCTCTCAATCATCACTGCATTGTATTGCATTATGTTTTGCCCACACAATAAAAACTACAGAGCTTTGATCATAAAACTAAGCGTTTAAAAATCATCTGACATATTATTGGCAGATACAGAGTGACACATGATATTTAAATGCATGTTATTTAAGTAGTCTGCTATACTGTTAAAATGGTCTCATTGATTTGCATTACAAGCATCAGAATTTTATTTTTTGTGTCACATAAATATCAGCCTCTACACTAAATCGCATATTTTTGCTCAGTTTGGTCCTCTGAATAAAACTGAGGCGTTCCTTCTGCTTTTTTAAGTTCCATATTCTCTAATATCATACTATATGAGCCATAAAAGCACATATGCAAACTTTCATTTTTTATAGTTTAAAAATGTTTTGTCTGAAGATTCAATCAACTCTTCTGTTTCAAAACACTATAATCACACTGACTGCATAAAATTCAGAA